ACTTTAAAAATATGTTGTTTTTTGTCTTTTTCAATTCAAATTTATTAAAACAATTTAATTTTATAGTGTTTTTCCTCATAATTTGTTAAAGATTCAACTAGCAAACACATTTTTCTTTTTTTATTCATTCTTTAATTGATTATTGCATAATTTATTACTATGATATTTTGGTTTTTATTATAATTAAAAAAACTCATTTATTTCTATTTTTTGTTAAGAATACATCAATAAAAAAGACCGCAAATAAATCTTTTTATAAAGGAAAAAGATTTTTTTTTTTTTTAAAAAGACGAATTAGTGTCATAAAAGATACTATTAAAAACTTAAATCTTTGACAATAAATTTCACCCCCCTACCCAAATTGGCAGACCATCCATATTAAAGTTGGGAAATATTATGAAGAATTATCTCTTTATTGACTTTTAAATAATTAAATTTTGATCAATGAGGTAAGAAGCAAATAAATTTACTAACTTACAACTACTTGCGTAAGCGAAATTTTTACATTTGGTTTGGTCAAAATTTCAAAGACAAGTCATATATATTAAAATTAAAGAATTTATATGTAATTAGCTCTTAATTAGCCTTTCCAAAGAACTAAATACAGGTAATTAAAGCCAAGAAACAAACCTATAGCAATTACTCCCTCTGTTTGATAACAATAGCCATTTTTTAACTTTTCTTTACGTTGAGGAGAATATATGTTTGTATCTATCTCATCATTAGGAGACGATATTACCTTTAACAAATAAATAAATAACTATACATCACTCTTAAGAAATAGATAAAAATAAAATTAAAATTTTAGTAATAAAATGAATAATTAAAATTAATGAATAATGACAAGGTTAAAGTATTAAAAAATATTCGTCTTTTAAAATGTAAAAAAATAATAATTAATTTAGAATAGAATTTTAAATCAAAAAACAATATTATTGTGAGATTGATTATAGACTATTGTTACTAGTATTTGCTATTGTCCTCAATTATATACTAGTAATCCATAAATATACTAGATAATTGTTAAGTGGGAAGACTGCAATGCCGTTAATTTTATATTTTACCAAACACATTTAAATTATACCAACAATTAATTAAAATATAACAGCGTCCCATGTGGCGGATGAAAACATATTCCTCCAATTGTTTTGCACAAATGTGAGAGTTGAGTTGTTTTTCTTGATAGCTAAGCTCACATGTTCCTGCTTGGAATCCACACTTCTCTCGGATTAAATAATTCTAGGTGGAAAATAGTACATATATATTAATACCTAACTCTTAAAATTTTTAAAACCATATAATTCAAATAATATTAATTTAGACATACAAAAATGTTAAATGAATAAATATTTATAATATTATGAGTAAATTTTTAAATTTAAAAAATTAATTAATTATATATGTCACGTTATATGGTACACGATAGTGTAAACGTTTGCCCATTCTAATATGATGATATATTGCTTTATTCTTAATTGGTTTTCCATAATTGGGATGTGATGATTAATGGATATTGTGACGCTTCTGAGCAGCTTCCTTGAAGCTTCACAAAAACAAGAGATGCTTTGTTTTTTTGTTTTTTTTTTTTTTCACTCAGAGCCAAAAATGTTCTCATGGCATATTCTCTCAAGTAAATGGAATTTGGATCTTTCAATTCGAATGATGGGGATGGTTGCACACATTTCTTCCTCCCCCTTTTTCATTATTGGACAAAATATAAATTAATCAAATCATGCTCAATATAATCTTGTATAGTTACTTTCATTACCATCGTTCTCCCAACCTACATCAAACGGGTGTCAAGGATTAAAAAAAGGAAGTCAACTTTTGCATTATTAATTAAGCATGTAAACAATTTAATTAATTTCTTAAAAACATGTTGATGAGTTATACAATAAATGGTAATTTTTTTTCCTCTCTTTTGATATAAGGTGACTCCAAATTATGCACAAGTCATTCTTTTTGGGGCATTAATTCAAACAGGTTTAGTGATTGATTAAGCTTTTGGAGTCATCAAATCGGATTGGTTTGTTGATCTAAATTAGTTAGTTTTCCTACCTAATTTAGTCATGAAGAGTTTTTCCGGCTCCCTTCTGTTGTGCTCTTGAACTCTCTCCATGCAGTTGCACCCCCATCACCCACCTTCATTGGAAGAGCTCATTTGTCTCTTGTTTCAGTATGGTGTTCTTGGTGAGCTATTTCCGTGTATGTATGTATCTTTTCTCTTTTCAGATTGCTTAATTACTGTACTAGCACCAACTTTCAACCCTGAGCAGTAACCAAATCATACCTATTCATTTGTTGTGTCTATATGTATTTTTTCACTAATTACTGACAATTACATACAATATCAAGAAATTAATACCTTTCCTTTTGTACAAAGTGTATTCCGACCTATTACACATATATAGACAAAAGTTCAAACTTCACACTTTATGATGTTCTTTTATCAGACACTAGTATAGTAGTGAATCGATTTTCTTCCATTAACTATAGTTTACATTTTCATTTTATATGTCCCTAAACACTAGATATATTTATTACACATAGAGACAATTGCAAGGTCAGGCTTACCCAATGTTCTCCCTTACACATGAAACCTACGCATCTATTATCCTAATAACTTTAATTATTTATTGTTATTAGAATAACGTGATTAGATGATACCTTAATCACTATCATTAAATATAAAAAGATCTTGTTGGTAATATTATTATGACAACCTTTAGAGTACTCTGGCTTCCTTACATGTTTCCAATTGGCTTAATTTGTTAGCTTGTGTCATTAGCCATAATCTCAAGACATAAAGGACAATACTATATATCATTAAATTAGTGCAAAGAGTGCTAAGGTTTTAATTACAATGGTCGACATTATCTTAATTATAATTCAGACATATACATCACTTCTTTTACTATAAGCTCGTGAATATATTGGGTAATGAGTTAATAAAAACAATTTGGTTGATTAATTAGAGACTCAATTAATATTGAACAAAAATGGGTATGTTTGTTACTGATTTAAATAATTCAATGACAATCTCATTTTGTTAAAAATAAGAGATTTTAAATTTAAGTTAAATGACAAATGTACAAGTCAAGTAGAACAAATAATAAAAAAGAATTGTTTCTCATTGTATGACTAAAAAAAGAGATGGTATGCTTCCATTGTTTCTTGCTCTCTTTTTATTTTTTTTTTATTTTTATTTTTTTTGATAATGTTGTTAAATCATTTTAATTAGGAGTAGAAGTATGCAAAGATTTTATATGCATGGAATTTCGTGGATTTAATGCATCTTCCTAATTGTCATGTTCAAATAGGATGGATTGAAGAGGCGACCTCTTCAGCTAGACCTTTTTTTTTTTTTAGTTGAGGTTGAGGCATATGTAATTAAGAGCATATAATTAATAAGTCTTATATTCTTTTCTTCTTTTTTTTTTAAATAGTGATGTTTTGTCACATATAATAAAGTTAGAGATTCCTTAAAATTCTTTGCAAGAAAAAGACCTCAATCCATCACCATAAAATGAAATTATGATTTTGACGAAAGAAGTATATGCCCAAGAGTTGCCCGATTATATTAAATGCTCACCATTAAATAAAAAAAGACTAATAATTTTAGTCAAAACTAAAAAATTCATGAAATGAATTAAAGAAAGTAAAGACGTTTTAAAAATTAAAATTTGACAATTGCTTGTGAAAAAGTCAAAAAACTTAAATAAATAAAACACAAGAAAATTCATTAAATATAACGTTTGAATATCTTAATTTTCACTATTCTTTTTGCAAAATTATCTTTTTATTAAAATTTTAAAAAATTTAGCCTTAATTAGTAATTAAGGCAAGGAACAAGCTCTTACCATTTATTAATTAGGATATCACCCAATGAGTTATTAAATAAATAATTTTAAATTCTTTTTCAGTTTTTTTTTTTTTGTTTTAAACCATCGACGTTGTCTCCTGGAAGAAAAAAAAAACCATAAATCCGTATGAAACAAGCCCAAATTCGGGCTGTGTAACTGGGCTTAAACCCCAAAAAATTCTACAACTCCTACTGGCCCACGCCACCTCCAATTTAAAGTATGGGCCACGTAAAACAAGGGCCCAAACACATCTCGTAATACGACAGCGATTCAGCGATACATCATCTCTATCCCCTTCTTGTTGTCAACAGCTAGCACACAACAGGAAACAGAAAACCGAGAAGTGGCCGATCGCGTCATTTCAAACCCACGTCACCACGCAGATCCGATTCCGATCAACTCTCCGTCGTATTCCATTTCCGATCATCTTCTTCGGCGGTACAATTCACTTCTCTTTGTCTCTCATCTTTTTAAGGTTTTGGGGAGGGGTGTTATAGTTCTGGTTATTGAGTATCAGCTTTAATAATCAGGTCAATTCGGTTCTTTCTAATTGAAATTTTCGAATTCTTCCGACTCTGCGTTGTTTCAGGATTCCTGTGTTCCTAGCTGTGCTGCGAAGATGGATTTGGTATCTGGCTATAAGGTCAGTTTTGCTTTCTAGTTTGAATTTCTTTTGTTTTATTTTATTTTTTCCTGTGATGATTCATTTATGCAAATGAATGTAGGGTACTTTGTTGGGTGATTATTTCAAAATAAAGTAGATTCTTGTAGCATTTTCTGCTGCATGTTTGAGTATCATCTGAATTTGGAACTAAAAATTTAGTGGCGGGTTCTTTTAATTCATATATTTCACTCAATGAGATGGAAAATGCAGCACTGCAGCAGAAGCTTGTTTTTATAACCTGCCCTGATGAAGCAGGTTAAGCACTTAAGGCACATTTTCTTTTCCCTAGACAATGGGTATTTGTGGTAGACAATGTCTGATGCGAGGGGAGTGTCTGGGGTGTGCAAACATGTTAGAGTGTTTGTGTTGATTAGTAGCTGAATTTTATAATCTGTGTTATTAAGTGGATCCCTTTTTGGTTCTATTTGTTGTGTGTGTATATATATATATATATATATATTTTAAGGTTTCATGTACTGAGCTGTGAGTTTTTGTGCAGGGTGTAGTTGGATTTGTCTTTGGGAATGAAAATTCTGCTTCAAATGTAGATAGGTAATCAGCTCTTTTTAAGTTTTGCTTTTACCATTCTAATTCAAATCTCTGTTTAGTTGGATTTTATAAAATGTATTTCAGTGTGTTGAATTTGATTATTTAAATAATTATGATGGTAAATTGACAGACTTAAGTATCATAATGATTCCTTTGTGGGGAAAGTAAATTCTAAACTGATGTATAGTTGTTTTATTGCTGTGGACCTAAAGTGAAGGTAGGTGAATGGTTCCTAACGTGCTTAAATTGAAATTTGTGCTTGAAGGTGGATTTGCAAAGTTTTTGTCTTCTTATTGAGCTAATTTTGTTAGATTTATATCTTCTATTATTAATCAAACTAATATACTACCTGTTTTACTTTTATCTTGATAGTTATGTTGAACGATTGCTTGACCGCATAAGTAATGGAAAACTGGCAGAGGACAGGAGGAATGCTCTTACGGAGCTCCAAGCTATTGTTGCAGAAAGCCGTGGTGCACAGCTAGCTTTTGGAGCAATGGGTTAGTGTTCCATTATTGAATAAATCTAGTTTGGAATTCTAGTGTCTTATATTCTTATTTCTAAACTGTATTATCTGAATAATTTTTACACCTCTTGCAGGCTTTCCTGTACTTATGAGTGTGTTAAAGGAAGAGCGAGATGATGTTGAAATGGTACTGTATCTTTCTTGCTTGCTATTTTTTGTTTTATATTATTTCTTAAAATTACATTTTTAATGCACTGTCCAATATTCTATAGTTTGTTAAGATTACCTTAATTCATCCATGACCCGTTAAGAAGATATATAACAAGGAGGTTGGAAGAGAACTGCAAGTTGGAGAAGTTTAGGACCTTGTCAGGTCTACGGAAAACAGGAAAACATGTTTAGTAGAAAAAATGGATTTCTGAGGTTGTTAATTGAGTTTTGCCAAATTTTTGTAGGTTCGAGGAGCCCTTGAAACTCTTGTTAGTGCTTTGACTCCTATTGATCATGGAAGAGGAGCTAATAAGAATGAGGTTCAACCGGCTTTAATGAATACTGATCTTCTTTCCAGAGAATCAGATAGCATTTCTCTTCTTCTAAGTTTGTTGGTGAGAGTTATTCATATTGGCTTAAAACTCATATTCTACAATGTTCTTTTGTTCATGTAATGGATGGACAATTTATCTTTCTGTAGATAGAGGAGGATTTCTATGTAAGATATTATACTCTTCAGATTTTGACAGCTCTTCTGACAAATTCTCCTAGTAGGTATGTGTTTTCCTGAAACTTTCTTTACCAATTTATCTTAATTCATTTTGAGTTTATATTAGAAAGTCCCTTGCTGAGTTCCTCTTCAGGTTACAGGAAGCGATTCTGTCCATTCCTCGTGGTATAACTCGACTAATGGATATGCTAATGGACCGTGAGGTATGAAGTTATTCACGGAATGATCCTTTTATTAATTCTTATTTAATTTCCATTCTCTGTTTTGCCATATGCTTGCTTCTCAAACCTTCATGTCTCGTGTAAAGTTCTACTTGTTTGTCCTCTGTTAGTCATACACCAACACCACTATACCTAATGATTTAGTTAATGCATGGGCCATGGGGGTAATTCTACCTAAGTTTATTTGAACACTTGCAGGTTATACGAAATGAGGCCTTGTTGCTGCTTACTTACTTGACTCGTGAAGCTGAGGTTCTGTTCCTTCTAAGTTTCTAACCCTTCCTTCCAACCCTAGTCTTTTAAAATGTGCCTGATTGTCTTACTAACTGAGAGAACTTCTTGATTTTAGGATATTCAAAAGATTGTGGTCTTTGAAGGTGCATTTGAGAAAATCTTTAGTATCATTAAAGAGGAAGGAGGCTCTGAAGGTGGTGTTGTTGTGCAGGTGATGTATTGCTCATCATTTTCTTAATCTTCAGTTAATCTGTTCTAGCTTTTTTGATGTTAGGCCAGTTGCAGTTGCTACTGTCTAAGTCCGTGTTTACCTCTTGCATGCATGTGCTTTTTCTGGAAGCATCTAGATTTAAAATCCTACCGTAATTTTTGTCATTCTTTAGAAATTTCAAGGTCTGACCTGTCTTACATTCTAGTTATTTTGGCGGTTGTTAAATAGGGCTGCTTTCTCAATTATATATGACTGAGCTTAAGTGAAAGTTGATTAGTGGTGGCCTGCAATGAGAGGAAAGCAGCTCCTTTTATGAAATACATGCATTACCTGTAGATTTTATTTTTATGGATTCAATTAAGCATGGCTAGTTAAGAAGTTCTCTATTACTATTAGTATTATGTGGCTTGGGTCGTTAAAGAAATCTAGTTTTTGTTCAATATCTGGTTTGGTGCTTGGTTGTCCTGAGTATTATCTGTTTTGTGCATGGAGTTTATTTTACTTTTATTTATGTTACTATTGGATAAATCAATCGAAGTGCTGGAAATGATACTGATATATTTTCTAATGAACAGGACTGTCTTGAATTGCTGAACAATCTTATCCGTAAAAATCCATCTAATCAGGTTTGTACTTTGTAGTGACTGTTTTTCTTTCTTTCTTTCTTTCTTCTTTTCTTTTTCTTTTTTTTTTTTCTTCTTCTTCTTCTTCTTCTTTTTTAAATTCAAGAAGTGTTCTGCTACTAATTTTTGGAGTGTTTTAGATTCTTCTGAGGGAGACAATGGGTTTTGACCCCTTAATATCAACCTTGAAGCTAAGAGGAGGTACATATAGTTTCACACAACAAAAGGTTAGCTACTCAACTGTTTGCGACTTGTATGCGATTTGCTGTGTTAGCCATTTTAATTCCTTAAGATATTTTCTTGTGCTTTTAAAAAAGCCTTACTGATGATTTTCTGCTGCCTTGAAACAAATACCATGCCAGTAGACAATCAATTTACTCAGCGTGTTAGAAACCATTCATTTATTGATGATGGGAGGTTCAGAGACTGATCCTCAAAATGATTCAAACAAGCTCACAAATAAAACAGTTCTGGTTCAGGTAAAATTAGAATCATAAGTTCTTGAATAACATGTGAAAACTTATTTATTCTGGTGATATCTCAGCCTCTGTCATTCTGGATTGATTAATTGCAGAAAAAGTTGTTGGACCATCTGCTAATGTTGGGTGTTGAAAGCCAATGGGCTCCAGTTTCTGTCCGTTGTTTGGTAAAGATGGCTTTTCTCTACTTTCTTTTTGTTCTATATTTCTCATCACTGTCTCTCTCTCTCATCTCTGCATCTTCTTGTTCAGTTTCCTTCTCACACTTGCTGCTTTCATGAGACACAAACATGTACACAGTACACACAGATCAATACCTTTTTATTTCTCTTTCCTTTCCTCTTTATCTAATTCTAAGGGTAAAAAAGGGGGAAACGACGGAAAATTTGCATGGAGACAAGTTGACACATATATAGAAAGAGGGAACAGGAAAGTGTCTGGAATAAACAACTTATCAGTTTTAGAGATTTGATTTTAATGATAAAAAATACTGTAACTTTCCCTTATTTTTTGTATTAACTATGAAGTCTCTCACTCTCTGCCCTCCCTTTCTACTGATTAAAAATTTCCAGGCATTACGTTGCATTGGTGATTTAATATCTGGAAATTCAAAGAATCGGGATGCTCTTTCTAGCAAAGTTCTTGGGGAGGGGACTCAAGTAGAACCTGCTCTGAATTCTATTCTTAGAATTATTTTGCGGACATCTAGTATGCAGGAGTTTGTTGCAGCTGACTACGTCTTCAAGAACTTTTGTGAGGTGGATGTCATAAATTAATGTTGCTCATACTTTTCATATGTTAATGGGTAATTGATGAAAGAATTCCACACTTTATTCTTTCTTTAATATGTTTTTAAAATTTTTTTCTCTAGAAAAATGCTGATGGCCAGACAATGTTAGCATCCACATTAATTCCCCAACCTAACTCAATGGTCCATTCTCCTCTCGAGGATGATGTGAACTTGTCTTTTGGAAGGTTTGTTACTCATACTGGTTCCAGCATTGAATTTCACTTATGATCAAGCTATTTTTTCCTAGGAAGAAGGCATTTTTTTATTTATGAACTATTTGACTATTGAACTAGAAGTGTACCTGGCTCTTTGTTTCCCATTAAAGATCATATTTCTGAGGTTTTTATTTGATTAGGCTTACCTTTATATTATGGCAGGATGCTGTTGCATGGTCTTGCATTGAGTGAAAGAGATGGCGATCTTGAGGTAACCTGATGTTTTGACTACTGTATCAGGAACTTATGGAAATAATAAAATATACCTAAATTAATTGTATCTGCTGATTAAATTGTATGGAGAGCTGTAAGTTGATCTGCATAATATGTATAATGCAATAATTCTTCCATGGTGCTTGGTGGGTGACTGTCCAGCTGTTATTTAAAATGCAGACTAGTTGCAGGGCTGCTAGTGTCCTTTCTCATATTCTCTGGAACAACATCCAGTGCAAGGAAAAGGTATGTCATACTGATCTATGTAGGTATTGAATTGTGCTCCCCCCCACGCCCCTCGTCCCTCCCTCCAAATTTTTTTTTTCTTTCTGTTTTTTGTATCATCTAATATTAATAGAAAATATGCAGGTTCTGCGTATTGAGCTTGATTCACCAACACCATCTTTTGGAGCTCCTGAGCCACTCATGCACCGCATGATTAGATACTTGGCTCTTGTCTCATCCATGAAAAACAAGGATGGCAAGTCTGGTTCAACAGGGAACTTGTATGTTCAACCGATTATTCTGAAATTGCTTGTCACTTGGCTAGCAGATTGCCCCAATGCAGTACAGTGCTTTCTAGATTCACGTCCCCACTTAACCTATCTGCTTGAGTTGGTATCAAATCCTTCAGAAACTGTGTGTGTGAGGGGGTTGGCAGCTGTTCTCTTGGGAGAGTGTGTGATCTACAATAAATCCAGTGATAATGGAAAGGATGCATTGACCATTGTTGATTCCATAAGTCAGAAAATTGGACTTACATCATACTTTGTGAAGTTTGATGAAATGCAGAAAAGCTTCCTTTTCTCTTCTGAGAAGCCAGTCCAGTCCCATAAACCACTGATGAGATCAACGGCTGCTAGTATGGCAGAAATTGAAGATGTTGATGAGAATGATTTGTCTGATCAGAAGAATGAGGATCACCCAATCCTCTCTTCAATTTTTGATGCTCAATTTGTTGACTTTGTAAAGAGTGTGGAAGCGCATATTAGAGAAAACATTGTGGAGGCTTATAGTCACCCAAAGAGTGAGGTTGCAGTGGTGCCTGCAGAATTGGAAGAAAGGAGTGGAGAAAGTGACAAGGACTACATCATTCGGCTGAAAGCGTTTGTGGAGAAACAATGCTCCGAAATACAGGTAAATGACAAGGAAAGTGAAAAACAAACTCCTTTTGTTGGAAATGCCTTTATGTCAATGATGATACAAATAGTCTGGGTACAAAATTTTACCCTCGAGCAGTGATGGTCCAGTTTTTTGCATTTTAAATCTTGTTCTTTTAAATTGCTTTGATGTTCTATTTTCATTTCATTATCTAGAACCTTCTTGGCCGCAATGCAAGCTTGGCTGAGGATCTGGCGAAAACTGGTGGGAGTGATTCTCAACCTGAGCAACGGATAAGTGGTGGCTTAGAGAGAGTCCAGATGGAGACACTTAGGAGAGATCTTCAAGAGGCATCTCAACGGGTAGAGATGCTCAAGGCAGAGAAAGCGAAGATAGAATCCGAGGCATCAATGTACCAGAATTTGGCCGGTAAACTGGAGTCTGATCTGAGGAGCTTATCTGATGCTTACAACAGCCTAGAACAGACCAACATCCACCTGGAAAAAGAGGTGAAAGCTTTGAAGAGTGGAGGAGCCTCAGCCATTCCTGATATTGAAGAAATCAAGGCAGAAGCTAGGGAAGAAGCTCAGAAGGAAAGTGAAGCTGAACTAAATGATTTGCTCGTATGCCTCGGACAAGAGCAGAGTAAGGTGGAAAGGTTGAGTGCACGGTTATTGGATTTAGGAGAGGATGTGGACAAATTGCTTGAAGGCATTGGAGATGACATGGGGCTCGCCGAAGAAGGTGAAGAGGAGGAAGACTGATGTAGTTTCAATGCTTATGTATGGCTGATGGCTGGTTATGTCAGACTAAAAAAATTTGTACATTTCTTAGTGAATTTGTACAGCCTCTGGATAAATTAATTACAGCTTCTGGATAAATTAATCTTTTTTAGTTGGATTTAAATTATTATACCTTTGGACTTAAGAAGATACCAAATTGTTCTGTTGTCATGATTCATATTCTGTTTACGTTTGCCATTTTCCCTATGTCAATTTAAAGTTTAGAAGATGAACCTGTCTTTCGCAGTAGCTGGCTGGCAGCCATTTAAGCTTTTTTTTAAAGAGAGGCAAATGATTTCTCGACAATGTTTATTATGACTGACTTACTTTTTATTAGTGTTTATTTATTTATTTATTTTTTAATGTTAGAGCGAGAAATTTCTAATAAAGGGATGGTGATCACTAAGTTACGATAACAATTTTTATTTTTTATTAGTTTTTTTAATTTAATAAGATATGTGAATCTAAATATGTTTATAAATTTATTGTCATGGTTACTTATAAAAGTAAAAAATAATTTTATAACTTAAATTGTTTTAAATTATAAAATATTAAGTATTTATTTTAAAAAATTTAATATGAAAAACTGTTTTCCTATCAAATAATTTTTATTTAATTATTTGGAACAATCTAATCTATAAAACAGTACATTCTTATAAAAATTTGTAATGAATTTTCACTGCCATTTACGCTCTTTTTTTTTTTGGTTTGGTACAAAGCAAGTTTCCTTTTAGAACAGGCAATTGAGCTGTCATTTAAGCATTTTGTTTTTCTGAAGATTAAGGCAAATGAGCTGCCAATGCTATATAAGCATCGACAATCCGTTTCTGCATACATTCCCTTTTCTGCAACCTTTTTCAGAATCGTAGTGGAATGATTTTGAAGAGGAGATGACTGCTTTTTACAAGGTTTTTTTTTTCTCTTTTTTTTTTAATGATTTGTCAACAGATTTAATAATAAGAAAAACAATTAATCATTTTCATCAGTTTGGTGAGGGCTTAGATTACGTTGTAATTTTTTTTTTTTTACAAATATAGCAGTTAGAAAAAAGTTTAAATCAATTTACACATAATTATTATGCAATTTATTTATAAAAAATTGTAACTATCTATTTAAAATTTATTACATCATTTTAAATGAAAAATTAATTATTCTTTTTTTAAAACTCTCGACCATTTATCATGGAGATATAAAAGGTCTAAATTGTATAAATAATAAGACTTGTACTCTCTCTATTTTAAAATAAGAAATATTTTTTAATTTAAAATTTGTTACAAATTAATGGTTGTCATTTTTTAAAGAAGGCAAAAACATTTTTCACATGTTTTGCATAAAAGAAAATTTTCTATGTTTAATTTTAATATTATCTCTTAACTTTAATTATCTATCTTATTATTAAAAAAAATCTATTTATCTTTATTTTTTTAAGGATAAAATTTAATTTAATTTTTTTAAATCTTTAATTTGAAAATAAAAATAAAAAACGTCTATTATTCTTAAACAAATGATGTAAATTAATTTAACTTTAAAAAAATAAGTGAAAACACCATAAGTTGATTACCAGATTAGGAAAATAATCTAAAGAAAATTTTTTGTATAACTTCTTTATATAACTTTGTATGTAGTTTAGTGTTTTATTTAGTCGATTTATTTGCCTCAATTTCTAAATAAACGTAATTTGATTTGGTTGTTTCACTTCATATTTTAACAACACATTAATATTAATATTTTAATTTTACTCTTGTCTTTAAAAGAGATGAAAATAACTTAGAATTTTTTTTGTTTAATTATAAGTAACATGAAAATAAAAAGATAAGTTTTAATTATTGTAATAAATGAATTTGTAAATAAATAAAATAAAAAAATTAAATTTGACCAAAAGAAATAATTGGTTTTTTTTAATTTTATTAAAATTTATAATATTATATGTATTTATCTATAAATAATATGTGAAAATTATATTCTTTTTTGTTTGATTTAATTTAACTATTTTATTTTTTA